GGAAATATATAGCGGAACGGAATGTGCGAAACCAGCTCGACCAATCATAGCCATTCCGTTTTCTTTCGTTCGCTTTTTCTGTGGTTACGATTGGTCGAGCTGGTTCCGCACATTCCGTTCCGCTATAGATTTCCGCTCAATGGGACATCGCCCTTAGGCACCGGCCAGTCTTCGCCCTAAGGGCGATGTCCCATTGAGCGGAAATTTATAGCGGAACGGAATGTGCGGAACCAGCTCGACCAATCGTAACCATAGAAAAAGCGAAGGAAAGAAAACGGAATGGCTATGATTGGTCGAGCTGGTTCCGCACATTCCGTTCCGCTATAGATTTCCGCTCAATGGGACATCGCCCTAAGGGAAAGGAAAGGGTAAAAGCTTGTTTACAAAGGAGATACCGATCTACTAGGACGGTTATATATTTATGTTGGCTGTATTGACAAACTTTAACAAAGCAAACATGGCGCTAAAGTTATCAGAAAAGGCTACCTTTTCTACGCTACACGGTGGGCTAAACCCATTGTGATACAAATCGATTAGCAACCTGTCCGTATGTTCTTTATTACATGGACAATGGAAGAAAACATGATTACAACATGTAAAACTAGTGGCCATTTCATAGCTAATGCAGAGAAACCTGACAAGCTTCTTCTTCTTCTTCGCTGATATGGCACCGTGCCCCTGTACGGTTTAGGCAATGGCCAGTCTTTGAAAACTTGACAAGCAAGACCCATACCATAGACTTATATAATAGATAGACAGAACATTTGTGTAAGAGGAGCTGAAGCTTCGGTAAAAGAGACAGAAATAGTCGTGGAGTAGTTCTCTTCTCTTCTAGCAGTGAGTTGATTGGTGGCCGCGGCAGGCCGAGGGAGTGGCCGAGAGCAACGAAGATAGACGTCCGAGAGTCAGTTGAGAGCATAGGACTTATACTCATGGAGAGGCCCTGCGAACGCAAAAGGAGGATCGACAAAGAGAAATATATTTTTCTGTTTCAACTGTGGCCACTTCTCATAGAAGAGAATAACAGAGAACACGGAGTGGGGGAGCCACAGTTGAGACAAAATATATATTGAAACAGAGAGAAACCTGAGAGCGGCCATCCTATTGTAATTTTTTTACGACGGTTTCAGCCGCTGGTTTTAGCCGTATTTCCACAAAAGTGGAACTCAAAGGCCGTTCTCCATGAAACTCAAGTCGCAGGTCTCGTGGAACTGATCAATTACGTTGGTCGATTGGCTGATTTGACTCTGCAATTGGTTAATTCCACGAGATCTGATACTTGCGTTTAATGTAGAACGGCCTTTGAGTTCCACTTTTGTGGAAATACGGTTAAAACCAGCGGCTGAAACCGTCGTAA